TTCCAAGCCTGAGGAACTTGCTTTAACCCATATAAAGCCTTCTTCAACTTATAAACCATGCCTTTATATCTAGTCACTTCAAAACCAAGAGGTTGACAGACATAAAACTCCTCCTCTAGCGGCCTATTCTGAAAGGTTGGCTTGACATCCAATTGATGTAATCACCAACCTTTAAAAATGTTGTAGCAATAGTAGTCTGATGGTTTCAATTCTAACCACAGGTGCAAACACTTCATTATAATCCAAACCAATCTTTTGCAAAACCCCTTTGTAATCAGTCTAGTCTTGTATTTTGTACCTTCTCTAATTGTTTTTACCTTCACTTTTTAGACCCATTTCACTCCAATAGGCCATTTGTTGTGAGGTAATGTGTCCAACTCCTATGTATGGTTCTTCTCTATAGCACTCATCTCTTCCTCCATTGTTGCCTCTTGTCTTGATTCCTTAATTGTCACTGTAAAGTCGGGAATAGATTTATAGTCTTGAGGTGGCTTTCTAGTTATTTGAGGTCTATGTGGCTGGATTTGAACTATTTCTGCACAATTTTCATATTGCATATCAAGGTAAATTGGTACAATCACTTTATCACTTTTAGTTGTAGTCTCCCTTATCATCCGTCTTCGTTCTTTCATCTGGTACATGTCCAAAACAAAGAAAACCAAATACTCAAAGATGACTCATTGCAAGTTTTCTTCTTGACCACACTTCCCTAGGAGTCGCATCATGTAGACTCTTAGTTTGATATCTATTTAGAATGTAGGCTATTGGGAATACAACTTCTCCCAAAAACTAGTTTGGCATATTTTTACCTTTCAACATACATCTAGCCTGTTCATCAATGTTCTATTTCTCTTTTCAACCTTTCTATTATGGTGTGGGTTATATGGAGTTGTAACATAATGAGCTATTCCTTCCTTATCACAAAGGGGTGTTCATTGGTCGATTGGTTCATATTTAGGGGAAAATGAAATTCGAACTAATTAATTTTAGTTGGTTAAGTTTGTTTTGGAATTCATAATATTTTGTCTAACCCAAACCAAACCAATGTTGAATGGGTTGGTTCGCTTCATGTAATCGGATGTTCAATGAAAAAAATAAACATGGTTTTATCTCAAAATTGACAAATAATGTTGTCATAAAAGTATATAAAATACATATTTGAGTATAATTGACTTACATTAATTACATAACAACATAAATTATAAAAAAATAACACATGAATAATTGATTAAATCATACCACTCCATCTATAACAATAGAAAGAAAATTAACAAAAATGTCCATCACAAGCCAAAGTGTTTAACATCAAATTGTCTAATAGAAGCCAAATCCACCAACATACTCATAATTGTAAAACTACACAAAGTCACATATTTACTATGTTAACCATTAAAAAAAAATAATACATAAAAATTAGTTTGGTTGGGGTTTGTTCAAGTTTCGAAAGTGTGAATTTCATGCTCGAACCAATCAACATTGATCTAAATTGGTTTGATTTAGGTTCAACCCAAACAAGAAAAGATATCCTGACCAATTTAATTGGTTCGGTTTGGATCATTAGGATCGTTGGGTTGATCCAAATCAATGAACACCCTTACTTATCACAATAGCAGTGAAAAACATTTGAGGTGTATTCATCACCCCCATCTATTTTAAAGACTTTGATGGGTCCCCCACATTACTTTCTTGCCATTGCCTCGAACCTTTTAAACACTTCAAATGCATCTCCTTTTCTTGTAATCAAATAGATTCGCAACTTTCTTGTAAAGTCGTCAACATAGGAAATGAATTAATGATTACCTCCAAGTGAAGCTAACTCCATTAGACCACACACATCTGAATAGACAATTTCCAATGGTGCTTTTGCTGTTGGAATGTTGGACTTCAAGGAATTTCTAGTTTGTTTGCTTATGGGGCACTCTTCACATAACTCCTATGGTAAACAATGAGCCATTCATTTCTTTCTCAGTAGACTTAGGCTTTTAAATATAGATGTCCAAATCTTAGATGCCAAAGCCCATTCTAATCTTTTGCAACAATTGCAAAACAGTGACTTTTTAACCAATATGAATTTCTATTTTAAAGGTTTTGTATTTGACAATGGTGCCTTCAAAATCAGCTTTCTCTTGCTGTTCTACACCATCAAATTATGCCCCATATTTGTTACATAGCTTTTTTTTTCTTCTAATAGTTGACCTAGACATAATAGATTGGTCTTCATTTGTGGCACATAAAGAACATTTGTTATAAATGTCCTTTTTCCATCTTTCATTTGACTCAGAGCCTTTCCCTCCCCTCAGCTATTATCAACAAACTTCACCATTCTTTTTACTTTTTCATCAAGATTGCAAACCACCCTTTATTCCCACTTCCCAGTCAAGTGATTTGAACACCAGTGTCCAAATACCAATAATTAGATTTGGAACAATCTAATTTGTCACCATTAGAAGGACATGATTCGAATAATCACTATCACCTTGTGCCATTTGAGTTTCACCCCCCTTAAATTGCTTTCCTTCATTATTGTAGCACTCATCTGCAATGTGACCTATTTTTGACAAGCTTAACTATATATTTGTCTTATCAAATTTCCTTTGCCCCTTTCTATTTTGATCAACTCCCTTGCCAAATTTTCCATGACTTCCATTCTTCTTCTAATTGTCAACACCAGAATTCTAATTTGAGACCTTGCTTGGCCCTTCACCAGAATATTTTGATTTGTTCTTTCATTTTCCTAAGGAGATGTTTGGTACATGGGAAAATTTTACTTTTCTAGGAATTTGATGTTGGGAATATTAGTTTTTCATGCTTGTTTTGTTATTTAATAAACATTCACAAGAAGCATTGTTTCCCAAGAATGGTTTTTGCATAGGTTCCTACAAAATTATTCTTGGGAAAGTAACTTTCCCAAGGTAAAAGTAAAGTTTTAATGCGGTAAAAACATCATGATACCTTTATTTGCTTAATATAGTAAAAATCCTTGATTCCATGTAACATTTATAAACATTCCTAGAAACATTTATAACCAATAAAACAAATTTTAATGATTGCTAAGAATCATGATTCCTTGGATTTATGATTCTTATGAACAAGCATGAAAAAATTTGCCATGTACCAAAGGCCCCCTAAACACTCAAAAAGCCTTTCTTCATGAGCTTCGAGAATTCTGCAACACCTTGACCCTTATCTTTTCAAGAACCTTTGATTTCTCAATTGCCATCATAATGTGGTAAAATTAGGGGGTCAAAGTTCTCGAACCTAGTCCGCTATTTGCTGATCTGAAAATTTCTCTCCGCAAGCCTTCATTGAGTTGACCAACACTTAAATTCTTGTAAAGTAATCCCCTTCACTTTCTTGAATTTATCAGCACCTCCATATGATTTATTCAAAATATCACATGCCTCCTTAGCTGAATTGGCTAAAGCTATTTTCTCGAAATTGGTAGAATCCACACATTGATGGATCAAGAAGATAGCTTTGTAGTCTTTCTTCTTCTGTTCCCTATTAGCTTCCCTCTACACCTTTGTAGCACCTTTCAAGACTTCTTGAAAATCGAAGATGATACCCATCTTGATACACCATTGTTCAAAGTTCTTGCCATCTAGAATATGCAAGTTGGTAGAAAAAGACCCATTAAAACCAACCATATTCACCCTTTGATCTCTTCAAAATATTCCTTAATCAAAAGATTCAAACAGCCACACAAGAAAGAGTTTCTTTCTCACAACAAAAAGCCTCACAAGCCCATGATCATGATAGCTCTCGATACCACTTCTTAGAACACATACAATAAAACAAATAAGAGGGAGTGAATCATATGTATTGTATTGTTGATATGAAATTGCATAAATTCCTTCATGTATTGCAAGATAATGAATTGTATGAAATATAGGTGAAAAAAGAAAAAAAAATAATGAATCGTTTGAATTGAATCGATGATACAAAATTGCATAGATTCCTTCATGTATTGTAAGATACAAAGTCATTTTAGATTCATCTTATGATACATATTGGTAGGTAGCCAAATTGTATCAAATCGTAAGATTTGAATCATGAATCGTAAGAATCCGGTAACTATGTCCAAAAATACTAAAACAAGGCCCAAGATCCAAATACAAAGAAAAACAAAAAATTACATGGAAAAAGGTTCGTAATATAAAGTTTGGCTCCCTCTAAATGTATTATGCTTTCTCTAAGGCTCTTCTCCACCCCTCTCAAGTAGATCTATATCGCTATTTTACGAGAATTGATCTAGGTAGTGGTAAGTAACTACCTATTAGAGATATCTCCTACCACTAATAGTGCATGTGGCCAAAGATGAATTGCAATGTATTGATTCCATAATAATGCTAAAATTTATAAGCTCTTTGCATTATCTATTGGTCTTTTTTTATGGAGAAATAATTTGTATAGATCTCATCTGCGTAAGTTGTATAGATAATTAAACCAATCGGCAACAAGCACATTATCACTTTATATTAAATAATTACGTAAACCATTGTGTCATACAACTATTTTATGTCCCAAGTGGTATTGTATTGATCTGCACAATCTAAACTTTTCTATGCACGAACTTCTCTTCTTAGGGAGGGGTTGATGAACAATTTATTTAATGTTCTTACTTTTAAGCTCTTTATTTTGAGTTTTTATTTATTTATTTATTTATTTGTAATAAGTAGTCACATGACTAGCATGTGACTGTTTTTATGAGGTTAAGGCAAGATTATCTAAGTTTGAAAAGGTTGAGCTAGGTTTAGTAATATGCTAATAACCCAAAAATCATGTTCAGACAATCATAACTTTGCCAAAGATATCATTTATGGATGAAATTTTGTTTACACTCGTGTACTAAGGCTAAGGGTGTGCTGTGTGCACACTATAATTCAAATACATGCTCAAAAGTCTAATTGTATTCATATTTCCTAATGCATGTAATGACATGCACAAAAATGTGATTCAAAAAGGCAACTAACTTTCATCCATTTTTTTGTAATTTTTAGGAGAGTGATGATATTCAATTCCTACTAGAGAATGATGGTGTGGAGGTTGCAGAGATGGTGAAGAAATATTCTAATGAGCTAACTAGAACAGTAATTTTCTCAAACTTCTCTGTGTTCAAAATTGTTATCATTATCTTTAATGTTTGATATGTGTGTATCCAAGTCATAGTAATTAATGCCTAGTTCTTATTTCTCATAAAGTAATTCTTATAATGGGGGTTTGAGCCTAACTGTACCTTACAAAACCAATTTGTAAGGTAAGGATTGTTCCTCACTTATATACAATCTCTCATGTCGAAGATTGGACATTTCCATCGTAAAGTTTGCAAGATTGAACATTTGGGTGGTCTGATAATGGCCCGATATTGGTTGGCTTGATAAGCCTAACAACACTCACTAAAATGCGCTTTGATACCATATTATAGCCAAAAGGGCCACCTATTTGCTAAGATGATATCAAAGCAATCCTAAATTTGCTAAAAGAGCAACTCACCATTTATATACGCACCAAGTCCAATAATGTTAAGTGTGAGGGGTGTATAGGGAAGAATCCAAGTCCTACCTATTTTAGAACATTAAAAAGGGTCTCTACCATTTATCCGCACGCCAAGTTCAACAGTGTTGGGCATGAAAGGGTGTATTGGAAAAAATCCTAAACTCAAATCAACTAGAGATAAGGCCAACAAAAAGTGTATAAGTGGGGAATAATCTTCGCCTTATAAGTCAGTTTTATAAGGTTGAGTTTAGATTAAACCCTCATTCTAAGAGTAGCAATACTGTAGTCTTTGTTTTATATGATATTGGTCATGTTTATTTAAACTTCTTCATAAACTCTTATGAAAGAAAAATATAATAAGAAAAAATTAAATAAGCTTTTCCTATAAGCTAATTCGTATAAACTTTCTTGTATTAACTTCTCCAAAAGATGATTTTAACTTGTGTATAAACTAATTTTACCTAATGGGAGAAACTTATTTCATTTTCCCTTATTTTTCTCTAATAAGTGTTTATGAAAAGTTTTATCCAAATAGGCTTGTGATATGTTGTTGTCTAATTTGTGTTTAATGTTGACTCTTAGCTAGGGTATATGGAACAACAACTTGAGTTGCTTCTTGATGCTATAATGTTCAAGTGCAGGTATTTTGTGATACTTTTATGTAAATATTTAGAGGAATAACCGTTTGTTGTTGCATGCTTTATCGCTTGATGTAGTTTGTGATATATAGATTCAAATCAGCTGGCACTAATATAATAATACAATAAATTTTATGCCAATGCTGGTTTGAAATCTCCAATTATCTAGAACATGTCATAAACCAAATATTGATCCTTAAGGAGGCGTTTGTTTCAAGGTATGTTATTACATTCTCAAGAATCACATTCCTAGGAATATTATTATTGGACTGTTATTTCTGGGAATATTTAAAAATGTGTTTGGCAAGATTTTAACATTCCTAGGAAGATTTTTAAATTTTAAATTAATTAAAATAATAAAAATAAAAAATAAGAGTTGAATAAGTGGATTAAAATATAACTTCCCACATTCCTATAGAAATACAACTTTTCCATTCTCCACCATGGGAATCAAAATGAAAGAAATCACGTAGCAATTACCATCCAAGAATAAATCATTTATGGGAATACCTTTTCAAAACTCCAAATAAATATGGGAATATGACATTCCGAATTCCATATCCTGAGGAGTGGGTTTTTAATCCATGAAACAAACATACTCTGATGTAATAATGACTAGGATTTGAATTTTTGAATATATCATATTTACAGAAAATGTGTGTTATGACCACACATATTAGCTTTATATATAATCAATGAATGCTACAACTAAGGAAACAAAATAACAAATGTAATCCCCAATTTTCAGCTATACAAGTTTCCATATTTCCTTATTTACATAAATATAAAATCATAACAAAAACATATATTTCACACCCTTTCAAGTAGAGCATATATGGCATATGAATTAAGTTTGTTACAAATGTCATTAACACGAAAGCCCTAGAGAGATTTATTAAACATGTCTACCAGTTGGCCACTAGAAGAGTTGACAAAATCAGTAGTGATTTCTCCTGAGATAACCATTTTTCTTACAAAGTGATAATCAATTTTTGTGTTTAGTCTACTCTTGGAAGATCAGATTGGATGCAATGTGGAAGGCAACTTGATTGACACATATCAATCTGGTATCTCGAGTGTCTCCCAACTTTAGTTGTTGGAGAAGTTGCCTAAGCCATGTAATCTCGCATGCCATTGTTGCCATAACATCATGTTAAGCTTCTACATTGGATCTAGCAATTATGTTTTGCTTTTTGCTCCTTCATAAAATCAAATTCCCTCCAATAAGAACACAACACGCAGATTAGGAATTCCTATTTGATGGTGATCCACTAATCTTGCTCAAGGAGTTAACTATGAATTCTATTAGTTACCTTCCCAATTCTTTTTGTCATAAAGTCATTTGGGTATTTTATGATTGCTTAACCAAGTATGCCCGCTTCATTTTTTACCAACCATGTTCTCCGCCTCTACTCTTGCCAATCGATTTTGAGTAGACACTTGTTGTCATCATGGACGCCCTAAATTCATAGCGTTTTTGCAATGGTCCACTTTTCCTCAGCTCTTTTGGAAACATCTATTTCAACTAAAAGGAACTTCTTTAAATATAGTATCGATGTACTATATTTAATCATCCTTGCCAATGGTATAAATACCTTTTGCAAAATTTTAGTACAACCCTGTTGTTCACTCTGCCATATAGAGACTACCTTTCCAAGATTGATTTTGTTCTAAGATAATCCTTCATTAGCTTCTTGAACAACACCTTATAACACCACCACAAAACATTGCAACAATTAAAAGACAATCTTAAATAGCAAGACAACAAATGCAAGAACAAGTGAATATACACCGTTCTGATAGGACTCTGATAGGACTTTCTCACCAGGGGATGGGGTCTTCTTAAACTCCAACCTCAATGCTAGGACACTATCTCCTGATGTCCTTCACAAAATCTTGCTCAACACTACTTTGGTTTGTATCAAATATACTATCGCATCAACACAATTTTGTATTAGCTCCAACTTCCACAAGCCTTGTAATCACTTGTTGGTTCATGTCTCTTTATTGTGACCTCACAAAGGTAGCCCACCAAACTCACCCTTTTAGCCTTTCCCCCCTCACCTCATGGACATGAGTTTTGTCCCTCAACAAGACTTAGTTACAAATGACAGTGACTTCGTGGCTACTATGACTACTTCAAACCCATTTGCCATTCCTTCAACTTTTACAGTGTTAGTTGACTTTGGAACTCCAAATGTCTCTTTGCCATTGTTAAGATAATTCTATAAGATATAGTTTAGATATACTAGTTTATCTTCTCCAAATTTATAGTTTAGTTTCCTTAGTCAGTTTTATCTAAATCCCTAAACTTTAGGGATTGATTATGTTTTATGCCTATTTATTTTATTGTACCCATCAATTCAATAATATGAAAATCATTCAGATTTAAGTTGGTACCAGAGCATTTTGGTCCTGGTTTGGAAACCCTAACCCAGCTGCCACCAAGGCATCTAGGGTTTTTCGAATTTTGTCAGTGGTCGGAGTTGATGTTGCTTGAGTGTTCAGAGGTCACCGATCGGCCTTTCCGTTGCGAGCCGCCTCCAGACTGGTGTCTCACGCGCTCTCACGTGCGGTTTTTTGTCAGAAAAGCTCGCCAGCGCGTGGGGTTCACGTGCCGCCCTCCAGGCCTCCGTTTGCGATGCTGTTTGCACCGTTGGACTCGCCGGCCCTCCTTTTCTTGTTTCGAGCCTTCTCAAGTTGTGGGTCACACTGTAGGTGGTCGTTTGGTTGTTGCTTGCAATTCCGTGGTTGTTTGGTTGCTGCCACAGAATTTCGAGACTGTTTGGTTGCTGTCTCGGAGGTCTTTCGGGATTGTTTGGAGGTGTTTTTGCTGTTCTTCTTCTTTTTCTCTTCATGGCAGAGATTCCCAAGAATGGCACACCTGCTTTTATCTATAGTACAACTGACCGTGGAAGTCGAGGGCGTGGTCGAGGTCGTGGTCGTGGTAAAGGGGGTAGAGGAAACCTCCATTGTACCTACTGCCAAAGAGATAAACATACACGAGACAAGTGTTATTCCTTGCATGGCTTTCCGAGCAAGACAGCTAATGTGGCTCAATCTCCGACTTCGGCTCTAGAAGTCATGATTGAACCCGAGAGCAATCATCCAATCATATTATTTGCCGATGATTACAAAGAGTATCTTCAACTGAAGGCGACTAAACAGGCCCCTTCCTCCATCACTGTTGCTCATACTGGTAATTCTACGGTCTGTCTCTCTCATTCTACGTCTATTGGACCTTGGGTTTTGGACTCCGGTGCTTCTGATCACCTAACTGGTAATGTCTCCCTTTTTCGTAACCTATCATCACCTAAAACTCCACATCATATCACTCTTGCAGATGGGTCAAAAGTCCAAGCCACTGGTATTGGCCAAATATCACCTCTCCCATGAATACCATTAAAATTTGTTTTACTAGTTCCTGGATGTCCCTTTAATTTGATTTCTATAAGTAAGTTGACTCGGTCACTAAACTGTGTCATAACCTTCACTTTTGATTCTTTCTTGATACAGGACCGGAGTACGGGACAGACGATTGGAGACGGATCTGAATCACATGGTCTCTACTACCTTCAGTCTTCTACCTCTATCGTATGTGCATCTATTGAGTCTCCTGGTTTAATCTATCGTTGCCTAGGTCATCCAAGCTTGAATAAATTAAAGAAAATGGTACCTCATCTCTCACGGTTAGAGTTTTTAGAGTGAGTCGTGTCAATTAGGAAAGCATGTTAGAGCTTTTTTTTCTAATAATATTAATAGTCGAGCTATGTCTCCTTTTGATGTTATTCATTCTGATGTTTGGGGTCCTAGTCGTGTTCCTTCTCTTTTGGGGCATAGGTGTTACGTCACTTTTATTGATTTTTCTAGATGTACTTGGATATTTTTAATGAAAAATCGTTCCGAGTTATTCAATATTTTTCTAAGTTTCTATTTGGAGATCAAAACTCAATTTGGCAAAGTAATTCGGATTTTACGAAGCGATAATGCTAAAGAATATTTTCAGATTGCTTCAAATCATTTATGGCTTTTTATTGCATTTTATATCAATCTAGTTGCCCTCATACACCTCAACAAAATGGTGTAGCTGAGCGAAAACATAGACATATTGTGGACACTGCTCGTAGTCTTTTATTGAATGCCAATGCATCTCCAAAGTTGTGGGGCGATGCTGTCCTCACTGCAGGGTATCTAATAAATCGAATGCCATTGTCTGTCTTGAATGATCAAGTACCTCATTCCCTACTATACCCATTGGATCTCCTTTACTTTGTTCATCCTCGTGTCTTTGGCTGTACTTGTTTTGTCCATGATCTTTTCTCAGGATGTCTAAGTTGTTTGCTCGGGCCATCAAATGTGTGTTCTTAGGATACTCTCGTGTCCAAAAGGGGTACCGTTGTTACTCTCCTGCTATGCATCGATTTTACACTAGTGCAGATGTCACTTTCTTTGAAGATACACCATATTTTATTGTCATAGATGTCTCTTCGGTTGACTCAGATCTCCTCTCTCAAGTATTGCCTATTCCTCATTTTGATCATAGTGTGCCTCCTACCACACCCGCTACTTTAAAGGCACCAGATCCCCCCACACTACCAGGGTCTGACCATCCTCTACACCGGTTTGGGATAACCTATGAGCGTCAATCACATACTGTTGTTCCTCCCAATGATTCTACAATTGAGCCATGTGATTCTACTCTTGCTTTAGTCTCCTCACCTACTCTGGCCCCACCTACCTCAGTTGACTTGTCCATTGCTCTTTGTAAAGGTAGACGTTCTACTTGTAATCCTCATCCTATTTATAACTTAATTTCATATCGTTTGTCTCCTACCTATTATGCTTTTGTCTCTGCTATTTCCTCTATTACCATTCCCAAGACAGTACAGGTGGCCTTAACCCATCCAGGATGGCGACAAGCAATGATTGATGAGATGACAGCTTTAGACTCCAACCACACTTGGGTACTTGTCCCACCTCTGCTTGAAAAATCTATTGTTGGT